GACTCCATAAATACACATATAAACACAGACACTGAGAGGATCCAGTTACGAGATCTAATTTAATTCTCTTTGTGGATCTTGTAATTATAATGTATATTTTTCTGATCACCTGAAGATTAGACATCCTATTTATTTCACCTGATGATTAAACATTCTAAAGATTTATGGAGGTGGGGAGTTAGGTTAGGTTAAGTGAGGGGGTAGATTAGGTTAAGTTAGGTTAAGTGAGGGGGTAGATTAGGTTAAGTTAGGTTAAGTGAGGGGGTACATTTGAATAGGTTAGGTTAAGTTAGGTTAAGTGAGGGGGTACATTTGAATAGGTTAGGTTAAGTTAGGTTAAGTGAGGGGGTAGATTAGGTTAAGTTAGGTTAAGTGAGGGGGTAGATTAGGTTAAGTTAGGTTAAGTGAGGGGGTACATCTGAATAGGTTAGGTTAAGTTAGATTTAGGTTACTTGAAGCTTTTGTTGACAACTAAAATATCAAAGAGCAATAAGAAGAAGAACAACAAATACAACGGCAAAAACTACGAGAGAGAGAGAGAGAGAGAGAGCCAAGGAGAAAGAGAGAGCAAGTGAGAGAAAGAGAGAGGAAGTCCTACTGGCGTGTCATGTCCCTCACACACTAAACAAGCCGTGAGAGGTGCGGGAGTAGGGGGGGGAATGGGTCGTGGGGTGGGGAGGTAGGGGTTAAGGATAGGATAGGGTACGATGGATAGCGACAGGGGTAGGTAGAGAATAGTGATGGAGATAAAGTAGAGACAGACAGACAGACAGATAGATAGATGGATAGATAGATACATAAGAACAAAGGAGGGGGTGAGAGGAAAGGGGGGCGGGTGGAAGATATACATTCTCTCTCCCTCCCTCCCTTCCCTCCCTCCTCTCAGCCTCCTCTCTCACAATTTCTCTTCATTACACCAGGAACTACTTGGGCATTTTTAGTATTGATGCGGGCGAGGTGGTGGTAGGTGATGGTGGTCAGTTGGTGGTGGTGGTGGTCGGGTAGTGGTGGTGGTCGGGTGGTGGTGGTGGTAGGCACTCCCCTACACCCTTGTGTAAGGTGAATCTCAGAAGCGTTTACAGTGCCCAACAGGGAAGCATGCTAAGTTCATGCTTGCCTTTATGTCTCATGGGTTAAGGGCGTAGAAGCCTGAAGAGTCAAGGGCATAGAAGCCTGAAGAGTCAAGGGCATAGAAGCCTGAAGAGTCAGTGGTCTATGTCATCAAGTTATTGGAAGCTCCAACAACTTGTCCCTGAATATGAATTCGCAACTTTCGATTTACACCAGGTACCTACTTTACTGCCAGGTGAACAGGGACTAATGGGGGCGAGGAGGTATGTCCAAACAACTTCCACCGGCCCGGGAATCGAACCCGTGACATCTCGCTTGCGAAGGCACTACAAGCACATGATCACCACAAACATAAGGCTGACACAGTGACACAAGCATAGCCACGCACCAAGTTACCACAAGCACGAGGATGATACAAGCAAAACGGATAAGAACATAAGAACATAAGAAAGTGGGATACTGCAGGAGGCCGACTGGCCCATACAGGGCAGATCCCTTTCACACCCATCCCAGCACTTCCATGTGCCTATCCAACTTCGTCTTGAAGCTCCCTAGCGTCCCCGATCCTACTATAGAACTCGGTAGCCTATTCCACATATCCACAACTCTATTACCAAACCAGTGCTTGCCTGGAAGCTCACATTACACTTTCACCAAACAACTTCCACAACATGACATTGATACTGTAAACTGTTCTCGTGCTCTATACACACACACACACACACACACAAAGAGAGAGAGATGTTGGTGGCCCAAAAATACAAGTTTTTTTTTTTTTTAATTAATCTAGCCTTCAAGAAGACAAAAGGATAAAGATATCTGACAAAGAACAAGAGGACGAACATTAACAATATATACATCTGCGACACTTTACTCCGCGACAAAGAGCACCTTGCCTACTTCAACACACCACAACACAACAGACCAACATCACTAGTCCAATAGAGAACCAATAATTTTAGCGAGCGACGGAGGAGTTTGGCAGCGGTGTACACGACTAGCCAGTGTGGACAACTCAGAGAAGCTCCCCTACATCCTGTGACAATGGCCTCGTCCTCTTTACTGAGGGTGGTCGGATACGCCACTATTGTGATGGATACTGTTCACCACAGCAGGGGGGAGACCGCCGGACACAAGGGGCGTAACCCGCACCCATCTTCCGGCTCCCACAACAGATTGGAGGTGGATACTTGACAAGGATGTCAAGGCGAACGCTGTCTGGCTATACTTGACTCTTGTCTTCCACCGAGAACCTGTTGTTCGTGTACACTTATTATCATCAACATTATTAAGATTACCAATAAGTAAAATCGTCAACAGTGATCATCTTAATTACAAAGGTTCGTACGAGAAGTGATCACGTCAACGGTGATGTAGGAACACCTCTGACTCACTAAGTTACGAGATAATGATAGTGGCCAATATGACT